CCTCGTTCTGAAGAGCGCGGCGAATAATGTCGAGACCGACCCTCGTTCTGAAGAGCCGTGAGAATTTTAATTCTGATACGGAGGCTCATTGTGATTTGTACAACAGCTAATGGTGGGGCAGCTCCTGACTCTAACATGCCATTGTGCTGTCAGGTGAAGCTTTGGTGTTCTGTAGGTTCTACTGCGCAGCAGTGCTGAAAGAACGGCCCCAGACCAGGGGTTTCAGTGCTTGCAATTTTATTGAGCTCATCGGTCAGCTGAACGAGAGGACAGTTGATCTCTCACAGCAGAAGCAAAAGCTGTCTTGGCAGTATCAGTGAAAAACTGTCTAGCTCAAACTGGACTCCCTCTTTTAATCTTCCTTCTGTCCTGTCTGCTTCCGGCATTCTTCTCGCCCCTCAGCTGTGTTGTTCCTTCTCGTTTCACTCTCTCCCTCTAGCAGCAGGGAGCCAGCGGACCATGTGAGGGGCGCTGTGCCCAGGCCTCAGATTCCGCTGTGCTTGTTTATCCAGTCCCTGAAGCTGGGGACCTGGGTGTAGATGCCGGGGGACTTGGGCTTAGCGCAACCTAGTCCAAAGCTGACGATTCCAGCCTGGACCCAGTGTTGCCCCTTCTTGTAGACCAGTGCGCCTCCAGAGTCGCCCTGGAGAGAAGACGAGAAAGTGCTGGGACACATCCGGCACGTGTAGAGGTAGCACCCGCACCCTCAGACGTGCGCACAGAAACAGAAAGTCATCTCCATCGTTTCCATTTCTTACTGTACACCGCTGAAATTGACTTTTACAAAGACGTCATGCCTGTTCTTGAGTGATTTGTGCCTTGAATAATATAATACTAAGCTTTATGTTATATAGCACCTTATCCTAGATTTGAATGTGCTCAGTGAAAGCAACTCGGATATCCTTGGTGATGGAATTCAAGAGCTTTAAGGAGCAGCAGGAGAAGGCCCTGCCACACACAGAGCCTTATAGGTGAGCCAGTACAGCCATTTTGAAAACTAACACCACAGTGGTGTTCCACTACTGCATTTGCTGTGAGCCTGCGGATTTTATTTCTGCGCCCATATCGGGGCTTATTTAAATTGCCTAGCCGTGTTTTTTTTTGCTTTTGAAGAACAGCATGAAGGCAGTGCCGGGTTATTGATCTTTTTGCGGAAGAACCGATCGCCCTTTTCTTGGTTGGCACGGACTCACCATGCAGGTGTCCTTCCCTCCCTCCTCATATCCGGCACACATCATGTTTGGCCTGATCTTGTATTTGCCTTTTATTTCTCGGTGGCTGGCAAGCAGCTCCTGGCAGCGCCGGTTCGCTATGACAGGGAGTTGAACCTGTTGCAAAATCTCAGACTTGGATCCTGGAGGGGGAGTGGGAGTGAGAAAGAGAGACAATCCAGGCTTAGCTGAACTGTGAAACCTGAAACAAGAAATTTTCAGCGTGGACAGGGAATGTAAACCTTTTTTGATCACCAATAAATATTTATAGACAAGCAGGCTAAAAAGTCGTTTCAAGATGAGCGTTCTTCAGCTTAGAAACCTGTTCAAAATATTTTTGGTCAAAAATATTTTGTTAAATGTAATTAGATTACTTTTTTGTAGATTTAGAACCCTTTACTTTTTCACCAAGGAGTCAAGAAGCATTCCTTTTATACTCATCAATACAGAGGAGCCAATGTATATTTTACCTGCACGGGCTATACCAGGTGTTACCCACCCCAGACTGTGCACCAGTTGGCTGCCTGCCTCTTACTGGATTTGGGAGCCCTGTGGTACCAGTGAGAGCATTTCCCTAGCCAGCAACATGGGTCCACTGAGAGCAAGGCACAGCAGCATACCCCATCTAGTGTTGTTAACTGTGGTGCTGCTAGAGAAAATCTGGTCACTGCCAGAGCCCTGATGCAAATCTCTGTTCTCTGGAATACAGGGCTTAGTGAAGAAAACCCCTTTCCAAGTCGTGCCACATGGGAAGCCCCGCTCGTCGTCTCTCACCATTCTCTTTAGTCATCCCCCACCCGGTGGCCCAGCACTCTGTGTCCTCTGTGAAGACATCGTTGGGCTTGGCGAGCTGGACAGGACTGATGTAAGGAGAGAGGGACACCTCGCTGTCCAGCTGCACCAGGGCGATGTCAAAGCCGTCTTCTGCTTTCTCGTACTGCTCGTGGAGGACGACCTTCTTAATGCTTTTCTTGACCTCGTGTTTGGAGGGTCGGTCCAGCTTGTACGCCCCCAGCCTCACAAGGTAAAATTTGAGAAAGTGGCGAAATGATCTAAAAGAGATGGTCACACCACAGGAAGGTTAATTATTAGGTGTCAGACATTTAAACATGTTTAATGTTTTTTCCCTAAATTTCTAACCTGGCCTTGTCAAACACCATGCAGCCGATTGACTGCTAATCTTGTTAGGTGTTACTGGACAGGCAAACCCTGGCGCCCTGTGGCTACCAAGACAGCCATCTGGCCCACGCTTTTCCAGAAAGCCTTCAGAATGCTCTCCTGAACCTGCACTGGTAGGATTCCAGTCTCCTCTGATCTGCTGCATTTCATAACAGCAGCTGATGCTGGTGCGTCATGGCTTTGAGAGCAGTGACAACGACACATCTTGTAGAGTTGCCGTTCACCCCTGGCAGAGTCCTTATCTCTGTATCTGAGCTTTATTACTACCATATCCGGTGTCCCACCTGTAGGAGAACTGGAGTCCTGATCTCTGTATCTAGGCTCTATTAATACAAACCACAGCAGATGTCCCACCTTCAGTCCTGATCTCTGTACTCTCTGTAGCACTATAGTATTAACACAAACCACTACTACCGCAGAGATTTTCTATACTGTTTCATGACAGAAGAACTTGCTTAGATGTGTGTATACAGTAACTGCAGGCATTGTAGTAGTATTAGGAGTGGAAGCTGTGGTGATTATTTGGTCCTAAATGTATGTTTGCAAATTAACTGGGTCTCAGAGGTTGTCCAACAGAGTAATGATTTACTGGTGTAAGTAGAGTTCTTGTTCTTGATGATGATAATAACAGCAGAAACATACATTTTGTCAGCGTGATGATCTGGACATAAATTCTTTAGGTCAGTGTAAGACAATGCAGAATATTTTAATCCACCAAAGGTAGACCTGAGTCCTGCAGCCTCATACTGTAGCTCTTGGTTGTGGTTTGAATCTAGACTGGGGGAGGACATGTTTGTGTGGATCTTGTATACTCACCTCTTCTACATGTGGAGTTTCTCCCAAGTGTCAATAGTCCCACTGGCTGGGTGTTCACTGGTGTCTCTCAATAGCCTCAGCGTATGTTTGTGTGTTTGTCCTACCGTGAACTGATCTCCCGTTTAGTGTTTGAGACAGTAAAGACAGTGTAGGTGTGCCTGGCACCAGAGGATACTCACTTGGGGAAGCAGTGCGCTGCAGTTATAACCCACTGCTTACTGATCAGGGAGCCCCCACAGAATGTGGCCGCATTGTGGTTCACCTGGATGTGGATGTAGACCTGCCAGGGCCACTGTCCCTCCTTTGCATCCTGACCACCCACTATAGAGCTCCTCCACGGAACAGAGCTGGACACTGGAGAGAGACGGAGGACAGCTGGACACTGAAGTCAGTGGTCTGTGGTATTTATTACAGACGGACTGATTCAAGATTGGGGGAAAGTCCAGGTGGTTCTGTTCATTATTACTGCGGTGAAGCTTATTATATTAACAGAAGCAGGAATACAAGTGGTAGCAGTATCAACAGTAGAATAGCTCTGCTCTTACCTTCAGTGTCAAGGATGAGGGTCCAGAGCAGCAGCTGCAGGAAAAGCGTCTTCATTTTTCCAACTTTTCACTGGACGCAGAGGACAAATCCTCCTTGGTTAAAGATACTGAGAGAACAGAGATGTGCGGGATAGTCCCGCCTTTATAGAGTTCTCGCTGCCAGGGACTTACATCACAGACCGCAGGCACGTAGTCAAGGATTCGGAGAAAGGGTCCCGAAATGACTCATTTACCAAAACTGAAGATCTAAGCAGCAGATTAAGCAACTATTCAGAAAACAAGTATTCTTGTTGATGACATAGCTGATGTTTTCTGATCGATTTGGACTGACTAGCATGAGCTTAGAACACTTTCGAGCAGAGCGTCTTACTCTTTGAATTGAAATAAGTTCCAGAGAGGTTGAAGTCAGCTTGTGGGTTGCAAGGGATCAGGCATAGGGCAGTCCCTCGCAGAACGCTAAAATTAAAAAGTATAGAATGTTCTACAGCATGAAGAGGCAAGCGGAGGACAGGAATAAGAGGCAGAGAGGTGGAGTGGAGAAGACTGAAGACGGATCAGGTGTGGCTAGAGGGTTAGGATAAAGGCGACATAAGATGAACTCCCAAGGGGATGAAAGAGGCAGGAATCTGGAGTTGTCTGGAGGCTTTGTGATAGTGGACTGCCGGGGGAATGTGTGAGTCGGGTTCGAGGATAATTTGGTCTTTTCGTTTCTTTAAAGTTTGGGATTCCTTGGCTGTCTGTGAAGGGGTATAGATCGACATAGAACGTCAGTGTAACCCTGGCTGGGGGAGGTAAAACAGGGTGCTGTGGACTTGGAGAGATCTCTGATCCTCAGTTGCTCTGTCATGAACTGACTAACTCGGAAACAGACATACCAGCCTCTTGCCATTTCACCCGTGCAAATGGCGGAAGATTACACACGCTGAAGGTGACCTTTTGAAGATGAGATAACAGCTGCGAGCTGTTAAGGGAGCGCTCTTGTTTCCACCCCAGGAAACAAGATTCTCTACAATCTCATTAATTGTGTTTCTTGGAGGAGCTCTTTTAACATCTAAAACATTTGAAATGATGCCTGAAGAGAGAAAAATCTGTGAAACGGAGAAGAAGGAAGGCAGAGGTAGACAGGGCAAAACTGCTTGTTTTCAAGATCTCAATTGTGGGTTCTACTTCCTCTGCAATCAAGATGAACCGGCGACCCCAGATAAGCAAGTCCATTGCTTCTGGAGAAAAAGTGCAGAGTCGTTCCAGTGTTATCTCAGCAGATATCGCTCACTCAGCACAGTAGGAGGGACACGCCCAGAACACGCTTGCTGTCCTGGGCTCCCCAGACCTACCCGAAACTACCGCCAAATCACTTTTCACAAACGATGCAAAAGAGTATCGTTTCTCAGACCCCACAGGCTCTCTTGATTTGTTCCTTTTTCACATGACTTCTGTACACACTCCCAGAGGGCTCTCCTTTTAAAGCTCATAGTCGCATTTACTGCTTGACTGGAGATTGGTAACCATGGTAGTGATTTTTAGCAGATTATTATGTATATGTGCAATTAGTAGAAAGAAGAATGATAGCAACATGGGATCACTTTATTGATCTGGGGTAAGGTCAGGTCCATCTTGTTAATGTTGGAACGCACATAATTTTCAGAAGAAGCTCAGCTGTGGTGAAAAATCATCTCCTGGAAAAGTTGAGATTGTGTCATCTAGCAGGTGGAAATGACAGTCTTTATTCAGATTTTGCTTTTCTCTGGATAGTTTCTTAATTGCTTTCTTTAACCTTGCATGTGTGAACTCTCGCTTGTCCTGGGTTGTTCTCTCTCAAGTCTTCCTCTGCAGCTGTGATTCAACCGGCTAGTCGGACCCGAACTGCAGTGAGTAAAAATTGAAACTCATTCTGTGAATGACTGCAGAGTGGGACACATCCTGTTTGCTTGTATCGTTAAGAAAAAAGGTTATCATGTGAAAATGCAAGACAAAAGCCACTGGTAGTAAATGTTAGAGGAGGAACTGTTTGTTAGTTTGTCTATTCATCATTACCACTTAGTCTCACTATGAGCAGTAGAGCTAGAGTATTTAAGCACCTAATACTTCTAATTGATTCAATATTTTAGACAGTTTGAGCATTGAAATGGTTCATGTAGGGTTTATAAAACTGTATGTTTGAATATGTACGTTTGAATACGTTTGAATACTGTATACAAATGAATATACACTTTGATACCAAGATTTTAGAAATAGAAAGTTAGTGTGCTTGTATTCTTTCAGGTTCAAAGTCTCCTAATGTACTGGAACTGTAGCTTCTATCATAACAAGACTGTTATACCGTACTGGGACTGTATCTCATATTGTAACAGGGCTGTTTTGAATGTTCTGGGACTGTAGTTCCTAAAGAAAGATGATGGTTTTACTGGACTGGGACTGTAGCTCCTACTGTAACACGACTTTTGTACTGTAATGGGACTCTTCTACTGTACTGGGACTGTGGCCCCTATTGTAACAGGACTGTTGGACTATAGTGTGACTGTAGCATCTATTGGAACAGGAATGTTCAGTACAAAATGAAGTTTAATTTTTTTCCCATTGTCTCCATTATAACACTGAATTATTAAAAATCTTGTCTTCCCCCTAAATAACCCACAGTAACAGTAATAATGACACCCATCCCCATTTCAATCTGGGTACTTTATTTTTAGTATTTGTATTAGATGTGTATAATAAAAGAAAATAAATATACATATGCAATAAGAGTTCCATTTGTATTAATAATATACATATAAGAAAATAGTCAACTCCATTCTCCAGGTTTTCTGTTTAAAAAAATAAAAATGCATAAAGTTTTCTTCATTGCCATAGAATCAAAGAAGAGATATCCAGGTCAATAAACAAAAGAGGTATGTAAATACAAATTATACCCACTATTATGCTCCTTGTGTTTCTGATCCCTGGAAAACTAAGAGTTCAAGAAAGAATACATTGTGGGCAGAGTGGAGCAGCCCACCCACCTGCCCCCTCACTGCCCACCACCCTTCATATAAAACCCATTTTCTTTTTTGAGAAAAACATTTAAAAGACGAGTTGCCTTCATTGCCAAGTCCTTGTATGAGGTACATTAAAACCTGCCTTTGTGCTTCCTGTGTTTCTGGTCCCTGGAAGACGAAGAGTTCAAGAAAGAATACATTGTGGGCAGAGTGGAGCAGCCCACCCACCTGCACCCTCACTGCCCACCACCCTTCATATAAAACCCATCTGCAAATCCTTATTCAACGTCAGGACCAGGCCACTTCCACTCCTCTCAGAACCTCTGGTTCCCTGAGTTTTTTACTGTGTGCTGCACTTGTTGTCTCCATTGTGAGTCTGAATGGGTTTGTTGACTTCTTTCAGATCCCTTGTGGTGGTGTACTGGTTAGAGAAGCAGTGCAGTAGACGGTTACAACACCTGAGCTTGAAAAGTCTCTTTAGTTTCTTCTGGACGTTTTCTGCTAGTTCAGTACATGTTTCACAGAGCAGCTGAGCACACTGAAGTCAGACAGTGGTTTTCTCACACACAGAAAAATTGGGTGATGCAGGACCAGTCAATGTGGAGCGGGTTTCTTGTTGACCAATCAGCAGGGAGAATCCTACTGACCAATTGATGTCGAGGATTGATTTTGTGTGGGTATAGATGAGTAAGATTGATGCTGACCAGTGTCTATCAGGGGATGTCAGTGATGATGAATCGCTATCTGAGCGCTGGCTAAGCTGGATTCTGATAACACTGGGAGATTCATACCAGCGAATCTGAGGCAGACATGTGATTTTGAGGGGAGGATGGTGTCAGCTGTCAGCAGATTCTGTTGAGCCAAATCCAGTGATGTCTGTTCCCCTTTTTGTGTTAAAAACATGGAACTTGCCCAACTAGCCATGAGGATTTATGTAAGAGTTTTGAGCTCTTACATCCTGTGTGGAGCTGTGTGACATGGACTGTAGATCATGAGGCCGAGAAGGTGATTAAGATTCAGGATCTGAAGGTTTATGTTACATTTATCTGAGGAAAGGCGCTCTGTGTTTAAAACTCAGATGTGTTTCATTCTTCAGGTGTTCTGTGTGTCTGTAGCTGTCAGTGAAAGTTTGGGAAGGGGGGCTCAGAATGTGGAGATCCAGGCAGCCAGCAGAAGGTGGAGTGCAGCCAGGAGGAGGACTGTGTGGGTGAAGGGGGTGAAGCGGGCACTGGGGCTGCTTTTGGAGATGAGGGGAACTCTGGAGCCCACAGTCGCCTGCAGGAAGCTCGCGTAACGTGAGACCGTTATGAACGACGTTGTTGAGAGAGCGCGCGTGATGCTGTTGCCAGGGACAATCACACTGGCCTGAATCCAAATGGAGTTCCGTTTGCAGACCAGGGGGCCTCCTGTGTCTCCCTGTGCAGAGTAAGACAGACGGAGGTTAACATGACATGGATTGATTGACCACAGCAAAACTACATAACTTCTGTAAATCTGAAACTGAAAGAAGAGCTGTGATGGAGGTGTGCTCACCTGCTCCAGGTCCAGAGGAGAAGTACAGATGGTGTCAGCTGAAGACCCGTTGTTACACTGGACGATTGTTGTACTTTTTTCCTGAAGGAGCGCTAAAGGAACAGAAAACACTTTTAGCATCTCCTGGATCACATACCACACTTTTAATTCCATTGGATTGGACACTGGTCTTGTTCAAGACCCCCCCCCCCAACTAAAAAACACTGGTCCCCATTTGTGCAGCTGGTTCAGGCTGTGTGAAACACCTTGATCATGTCTGCAATCAAGAAACGGACTCCTCATAGACCTTCAAGGGGAAGTTTCCAGCCTGACTCACCAGCAGTTGTGTTGCCCCAACCGGTGACCCAGCACTGAGTGCCAGGGGTGAATGTGATTCCTGCCCCTGCCAGGCAGACGCTCAGGATGTAGTCTGTGAAGGAGACATTGGTGTCCAGTCTCAGGAGGGCGATGTTGGTGCCACTAAGGCTGCTGGTGAAAACGTTCAGGACTCCAGTGGATTTCTCTAAGGTGTTGGAGCTTGTCTGGTTCTGCCTGCCCAGAAACACTCTCCATTCACTGGTGTTCACAGAGCTGGAGAGCGAAGGAGACAGAGAGAGAGGGTTTAATACAGACTCTGAGAACATTGCACTGTAATACCACTGTGACAAACACTAATGCAAATCAGAGGGAAAGTAACACATCATCAAACCATCAGTGTAAATCAGTCAATATTCACCATTTCACCCCCAGATGTTATTAGCTTTTACACTTTCTTGTAGTGAGTCAAAGTTCTTCTGGGATTTATCTGTTGATTTTTCACTATTCTACAGTGACTATGTTAGCTGATTGTTACTGAGTCACAAGTACCTGTACAGCTGAGCCCCGCATCATCAGTGCGAAAGTGATCATGTTCATCAGACAGTTGTAGTACAGGGGCTCCTCACTGTGTGTTCCCCCTTTTTATGATTTCCTGCACTTATGTAGCTGTTTTTATTAGGAAAAATAACACTGCATTCTCTGCATTCATGTTTCCATTGCAAGTAGAAAACAAAAAGGTTGAAGAAGTAGGGTGCCTCGTCAGTGTGCGCAGGCTGCAAAGGAATGAGATTTGTTCCATGCTGAAAAGAAAAACGTTTCGGCTGTGGAACCTTCTTCATGTGTGAGGGAGTGAGGAAGATCAGCGGTTGATAGATAAAGCATGGGAGCTCAAAAGCCGGGAGTGGAGAGGAGGCGGGAGAGAAAGAGTATCGACTCTCGGGTGGTGTGAAGTCAAAACCTGCAAATGAATAGAGAGGGTTAGAAGGAAATGAATCTGTCATTGAGAGAAGGGGGAAGGTGTGATCCCAATTTCAAGGTAATTTTGGTTTCGGATGTCTTTCTGCAATAGGTGTTCTGAAACCCCTCTGAGGATGCAGATGGAGAGATCAGTCGGATCAGGTGAAATGGGAAACTATGGGCTTGGAGAGCCCGTATTTCCCTGAAATGGCCCCCAGTCTCCTACCTGTCTCACCTGTGTAAATAGCTGGGCATTTTCTGCAAGGGATTCAGTAAATAAGGTTGCTGGAAATACATGATGTCATCTGGGTGATCCAGAATTACCCAGAAGAGTCTTGAATATGCGTGGTCTTGGATATATGTTTGCAGAGAGTTCTGTTACAGGGGGATGTGGATTGGAGGGGCAGATTGGTTTTGGTCTCTGCTTGGGTAAGAGGGACAGGTGCGGTTGGTCTGTACCTGGGTAAGAGGGGCAGGTGGGTTTTGGTCTGTACCTGGGTGAGAGGGAGAGGTGGGGTTGGTCTGCACCTGGGTAAGAGGGGCAGGTGGGATTTGGTCTGTACCTGGGTGAGATAGACAGGTGGGGTTGCTCTGTACCTGGGTGAGAGGGACAGGTGGGGTTGGTCTGTACCTGGGTAAGCATTGTGCAGCTGTCATCACCCAGTCGCTGGCGATGAGGGTCCCTCCACACACATGACTTCCATTCCTCTGCAGGCTGGCCATCCAGGGCCAGAACCCATCTGCAGCTGACTGACCCCCAAGGAGGCGCGTGTTGAGTCTGGGCCTCCCGCAGACTTGGCCTGAAAGACATAGTAAGCCAGCAGATTCGCATCATCGGAAAAAGATAAAGGTGTCCTATATTTTGCTATTGTGTTTAAGCTGTGTGATTCTTGTTATCACCCAGTCTCTCATAATGTGTTTGTTAACTAAATGGATTAAGTGTAGTCAAATTTGGTGGTCAAACAACATGAGAAAGCAGTCTGTCATAATTGCTCTCAGTCTTGCTATTGCATGACCCTTGGATCCCCAGAATGTGATTCTATCATCTGAATCTAAATGGAGTCAATGGATGTCGCATGCACCTTTTTAGAGCAGAACTAGAGACCACAGCTGCAAAGTAACTCTTGGAGAGCTCTGGAAACCCTTTGTCGTTATTACTGAGGGGCCGTGGCAAAAAGCTGAAGACATTCCAGCTCGACTGAATGGTCTGCAAGAGCTTTCCACAGAAAGCCTATAAGAAGAAACTAGGTGATGATATTAGTGGTGTCCTGAAAAAATGACCCATTTTTTGTTATTCTCGAGGGACGAAGCTGAATCCCTTCTGCTGTTTATTAGAGGTTGAACATCTGTCATGTCTAATGCTCCCATGTACAGTATCATCACCAAATCACTGAGAAAACAGCAGTTCGGCTTGCTGAGATGGGTGGATTTGTGTCATCCTTTTCTCATACCACACACTCTCACATTGGATATATCCTGGATTTTACTCACTGGGGCCTGCAGTCGTGGGGATGGCAGTGGGCACTGCTGCTGTGGCACCACAGGTGAAGCTGCTGTCAGCGTCTGTGCCACTGGAGGTGAAGGTCACAAAGCCTGTGGCTCCCGACCCCACTTGTCCGTTAATCCAGTCCCGGTACTGGGACACCCTGGTGTACACTCCTGGGAGATTGGGACGAGCACAGCCCTTTCCAAAGCTCACAATACCAGCCTGAACCCAGGCAGAGCCCTGCTTGCAGACCAGGGGACCCCCTGAGTCTCCCTAAAGACAGATAAAAGATTGTTAAAACAGGCAGACTGTCCACATAGTGTTGTCCACTGACACCAGTCTGTGTCTGGTGAAACTACCAATACAGAGCATTGACCCAACAAGAGCACTGTGTGGTGCAGCTCAACACTTTTAAACAGTGAGATGCTTAGAGAAAAGGCTTTTCCAGCTACCTGGCAGGAGTCCTTGCCCCCCTGCAGCACTCCCGCACAGATCATGTTGCCAGTGACACTGTTCGCTCCGAAGACCACATCATTCAGACACCCACACTGCCTGTTCCCAATGATGGGCAGCTGGACCTCCTGCAGGGTCGAGGGTAGAGTTGTCCCTGGAAGACAAGACAGTTTGTTACTACCATAAAGTGCCCACAAGCTGGAACTCATCTCTGGGAAGGACAACTGTAGCAGGATCTGCTGAGCCATCATCTTTTAACCCTCCAGTGTCCCAGAAGATAAGATCTTTACAGGAATTTGAACATGTCGACCATATCAACCTTTACAAAGGTGTAAAAATCATGTACTCAAATGATCTGCAAATAGAGTGCAAGTGTTTATTTTCTGTGCTGATATTCCAGTAGGCCTTCTGGTGTGGTATATTATGTCAGTTCAGCTTGAAACCATCAGTTGAATTGGAAGAAAAGTTTTGGCAAAGGAGTGTGTTTCGTTGGGATACACTCACCACCTTCAACTGTGTCTCCCCAGCCAGTGACCCAGCAGCTGGTCCCATTGTAGAAGGTGCTGCTGGTATCAGCCAGACAGACGGGCTGGATGTAGTTGTTGAAGGAGACAGAACTGCTCAGTTTCATCAGGGTCAGGTCATTGTTGTTGGTTGAGGAGTCATAGTTTGGATGCTTGATGATCTGCTGGACCCCACTGGACACTGTGTTGGTGCTAGAGCCCGTGTCTGTCACTCCCAGATACACTGTCCACTGACTCAGAGTTATGGGGCTGGAGAGTGAAAGAGTGGAGAACGTGAGAAGAGTTGAAGTATTTCTGAGGGCACAAATAGTTCTTATTGCAGAACTGTACGCTGTCAGATTTACTGTGATACTGATGACTTTTAGAGGTCATTAGCTCTGCAGTCATTGCCTGCCTATTACAAAGTCCACAGTGTTACAATCAGTGTTCACGGTCATCACAATCTGCAGTTCCTGTCAGCACTGTACATACTGACAGAGAGGGTCCTGTTTCTCTCCTACCTTGAAAAGCAGTGCGCTGCAGTCAGCACCCACTGGCTGTTGATGAGGGTCCCCCCACATGTGTGCTTCCCATTCAGACGCAGACTGGCCTGCCAGGGCCAGGACCCCAGCTGGGCAGACTGGCCCCCGACGATCCTGTTGTTAAGTACAGCCTGTCCACAGGCTGGAGTTTAGAGAAATGAAGAAGCTAAGTTAATGCAGGTCCTGTAGTTTCTTGCTTTATTAGTTACTGACTAGGCACTTGATTGGCTAGTGAATGCTGTTTTGTGTTTATTAGTGAACTGGTGTCTCCTGTTGTGAGTTTATGTTCAGTGTCACTCACAACAGGTGTCTCCTGTTGTGAGTGACACTGATCGCTGTCACTTTGTCTCTCTCAATGGGTACAGGTCTGAAATTGGTCTTGTCAAGTCTGGTGTCCCTCAGGGCT